TCCGTGTGCCGACTACGCGTTTGACAACGTCATTTTCATCATACTCAATTTCAACGATACTGTGAAAATCATGACACCAATCGTCTGTTTCTAGTGATATTCATATGAAATTTTGATACATTATTCAAATTTTGATTCTGGTTTCAGTGATTCCAACTTGAGTTCCATGTACTACATACTACTAAAGAAATGAAAGCAAATGTAAATGTTATATGTGTAAATTATTCCGAATTTTGTCCGTGCGCCGACAGGCCTTATCGGCCTTCATATAAATCGTCCTAATATTATTAATATGAAAGATATATATTTAAAAATTCACAATTTTAAAGAACATTGACTATTTTGTGTCTCTGCAAAATTTGACAAGTAATGGTTGCATGTTTAAAAAATTATAAACATTGTCTACGACTTTTTGGGACAACCCTCGTAATTATAAGTGCAAAAATATGTTGAAAAAGCTGTTCTCTAATGAACTGCGATATGCATCATTTCTAAAATTTTTCTGGTTTTGAGCTAAGACTTAAAAGTATTGATAGAATAGACCGGTTTAATATTGGTGCCTCAATCATATCTTTTACTGTCGTTATATTCAAAAGAAAGACGTGCAAACTATTTCTTATCAGAGTTAAATAGGTTACGGCCTTATTAAAGAAGAGACTAGCAGGATATTTATGAAATGAAGCAAACAGATGTGATTCTAGTCCTCTTTACAGGTAACTTTGTCAAAAAAAAATCAGATTACTTTGATCATATCTGATTATGTTATGTTACATTAAATCTATAATATTTACGTCTGTGGAAGAAAAATACTTCATCATTTTATGTGTATTTACTATTACATGTATATAATATACATTTTGTTTGCTATTGAAGGAGTATATTCTAAAATTTAAAGAGATTCGTGTATTCGTGGGCCTCCTCTTCCCTTAATTTTCATTAATTAATTACTGTTTGGTATTTTGATTCCTTCTACAATGAAACATATGGAGATAACGAACAGTATTTAAGATAAAAAAAATCCATAAACCAATATAAATAAGGAGCAGAGCAAACACGGACCTCAAACTTCAGAAGTGGGATCGGGTATTTATAAGAAATGTCTCAAAATAATAGAAATATATTGTTAGAGGTTTAAAACTAAACAAAATATATATATTTATACAAATTCAGTTGTTTATAGAAGACATTATCATTAGCAATCTTATCAGGTCTATGATTTATAGCTTCTAGAGAATGTTCCCAAAACTTTTTTTTTTTGGTTTTATTAATTGATAATTTTACTTTTATAGTATTTTTATTTATTTTTTTTTTTAGGATTGTGTGCTTCTTCCATGGTAGATACACAGAATTATGCATCCAGTAGTGGGAGTAAGTTTTGTATAGATAATATGATAATATTAAGAAATTAAAAAAACACCGATCAAATAATATATAATGCTCATGTTCTAAACATTAGATTTATGTGGTGTCGTTTACATATGTTTATTTCAGCTTTTTTTTTAGTCATTGAGTTACATTTAATACATGACAAGGCAAAAATTCTTTTAGTTACTATTAAGGAATAATGTGTAGATGGTGAATAGTACTGAATCTCTAGAATAAAAAAAATCACAAATTGAAGGCTAATACGGCCTCAATTTTTAGAAAAAAAATCATCAATCAATAAAACTTTTCAACAATAATTGAAATTGGGAGCCATCAATAATTTTGCTAATATAAGGGTATCCAAGCAGAATCGATGATAAACATAAAATGACACAAGGCGATACAAAACAGGAGGAACATGCAACATAAATTAACAAAAATGATATCTTAATCCATCCAAGAAAGGGAGATGGTTACCAAAAACAGGCCATGGCTGGGATAAAATTATAACACAAACGTAATCAACAATAAAGCAAATCGCATCTTACGCTCTTTCTTGTATCAAATAGTGATAACAACAAATGCCTTAACATACAAACCGATTGAACTAACATGAGCTACATGTTAATCCAATTAATTGCGTTTAAAAAATGAATTATTAAGTTTAAACGCAATAAAAAAAATAATTTCAATATTGATATATATATCTTCGAAAAAAAAATATGTTTTGGGGTCGAAATACATATAGTAGTGCTTAAAATACCATAAACATCACATTTGAGTAGTAAATATTTCAGAACAAGAAAAAACTACTAATAAAATTGATATCTTTCAAAATTTCATTTACCAATAGAGAGGAAATTTATTTTCAGCTCTATGATTGGCTGTTGCTAAAACTCAGATCACAATTTGCTGCTATTTTTCAATACATCCTTAATCTTAGTTTTGAAAGAATACTGAATATTGGTCAAAATAACAAACTTCATAATATTTTTATTGGTTCGACGTCTCCTAATTTTATTGTGGAGTAACAATTAAAAAAATGTCTTTGTATTCATTAACCCATCTAAAATATGTCTGTTTTTACAATGCAGGACAGCAACAACAAACTATATTTAAAAAGGAAAACAATATAATCTTCGATTCATGCTTATTGACACTGGTTGCATATTTTTATACACTGTGCTTTATTACTTTTTTTAAGGTCACCCCCGTGGTTGTACGCACAGTTCTGATTGTCATGGTTGTCAGAATAACCAGGTTCCATATTGCTTCAACCACCACTGTACCTGTATAGGTAAAAGAAAAACCTTTAAGTACATGTAGTAGGTTTCCATTTTACAACCTAATATATTATGCAGTGTAGAGAAGCAATTGGAATCCTTCTAACTGTATTCAAAATATTTAGATGTTTCATCATGAAAAGACTTCAGCAATTTTTATAATGAAATTATAAACTTTAAAGCAGATGAACAACATCCAAAAAGAATGGTGTCAAACACTTTTTTCTCTAAGCAAGGCAGATCATTCAAAATTTGACATTTCTGACATCGTATTTTATCCTAGTTTTCAATTTTATTCTTATCATTTGAATTTAAATTATTTTCAAAACTTTCTTGTCAAACTTCCTAATTTTTTGCACTTTTCAAATTCGTATATATTGTGAATATCTATAATACAAAACGCATAGTCATACACTGAAAGAAATAAACCGAGACTTTAGAACTCCTCAGTAGCCGTCTCCTTTTGCATTTTTGCACCTACCTTGTTACAATATAACCTCGGAACTTTGCACTTTTTATTTGTAAATCATTTTACAAATGATCGACTAAGACTTATTTAAAATCTTAAGCTCATCAAAAAAATGTTTCAAAATTCCGTGTAAGCAGACTTTTTAGAGAGGGTTTCAATTTTGCATTGTTAGCGAAGGTGCTGAGATCACTAAAACTGAATATTGCTAAAAATTAATTGCGTTATAATTGTAATGGCTTCCATATTGAGCTTTCTTATATCGCAAAAATTACTTCTCGCTAAAAATAAAGTACCCATTTTTAAGAACAAATCGCGAAATTAGCTTCTATCTAAAATTTCCAATTATACGGTAAATAATTCTGCTAAGAATTGTTTGCGAAAATTTATCTTTGGACAATGTTTTTGAAATAATTCAAACTTTTAACAATTTTCAATTTACCGTTACTTAAAAATTTATATCGGTAAGCAGAAGTAGCTTTTGGTCGTAGTCGTCAGTTCTTTAATAATACGAGCTGAGCTCAGTGTGTGTAACGGAATACGATTAACACGATATTTTTTGCAAGCAAAAATATACACATATAAGAAAATCAGAACTACTCACACAGCTCTAAACAAAAACAAAGAAAATGCAAAAATCAAAAAAGTCAAGTCAATAATTTGCAGTTGTACATAAAATTCACATCGCTTTCTAGTCAGTTGTCAATAAATATTTTAAATTGTGCTTCACATACGTAAAATTTACAAGTCTATAGTCTTGAATCTTTTATATATTCAGCCACAAAATCTTGATTACCTTTCATATCATCACAAACATATTTTTAAGTCAGAAAAAGCTACATTTTAGCATACAGTCATTTGGCCAGTTCCGAATTTTGACCAGTTCCGAATAATATTCAGTTAAATAACTGATAATTAATACATTCAAAAGTGTAAAAATTAATTGATACCTATGGTGAGAAGGCTTATTTATGAGTGTTTGAATTATGCGAAGTTTTCATTTTTTGCCATTAGTTCGGCTTTGTTATCGTTCTTGAAAGTACAATCGAACAAATCTGAATCACCGCGACGCGTACATGTAAGTCTGCAGAAAAACCTGTAGAGACATCAATTTTTCGCATAAAACAACATTCGAGGTATCAAAAGTAAGTTTGATATGTACTCTAATAAATACTAAAAACTTGTCTAAAATAAATATTTAGAACACTGGAAGATATCGAAATATTTTCGTGTTGTCATTTTACTAGTTCCGAATATCCATTTTAAACACTATTATAAATTGATTTGTCGTTGTTTTCTTCATTGTAAACGAGACTTTTTATATCCCCGCTTGAAAAACAGGGGGGAAGGGGTAGATAGTGATGGGATGTTTGTCATCCATCCTTCCGTATGTCCGTCGGATACGCTTTGGGGTACCCATTGTATCCACAACTCCTCTTCTACCACCAAATGAAATTTAATGAGACTTCACAGAATTTAATTAGGCTTTCACAGAATCTTTGTTAAATAGAGCCAAAGTACACCTTCTACTTTATTTTTTGATCTGGCACATAATTTGGGCTCCCTTAGCATTACATGGATACTGCCATTCTTTCTAATATTGAAGGGTATATCCATCTCTTATCCACAGATCCTCCATTCCACTGAATAAGATTTAATGGAACCTTCAAAGATTGTTTATTACAGTGTACATGTGACCTATTATTATATTTTTTTTGATCTGACACATATTTTGGGTCTCCTAGCTAGAGCATGTCATAATAATCATATAGGAGGCGCGGAGTATCATTAAAGTGAACTCAGTGTTCACAGTACCCTAGTTTCTCGTTATCCTTTGGAAATAAAAATAACTTATTGGTAAACAATTAATTTAACTTTTCTAAGACATGGCAATGGATAATGTGTGGGACGTAATTTTTTTAATTAAGGGTTGAAATGAATGGGTCCCGCTAGGGTATCCGGACTTGTCGGTTATTCGTAACTGGTAAAATGAACACCCTTCTTAACTTGCGAAATATTTTTTTTTTGGGGGGGGGGGGGTTGACATTGAACTACCTCGACAGAAAAATTAAATTTTGAAATAATGCCTTGTATATTCATAGCAATCCCGAATCCGTTTCTTATTCGGAACTGGTCAAAAGACTGTACAATTTATTCCTAGATTGTCATTACGACCACGACTGCCATAGTCATTGCTCTCAGGATCAAACAGCATCCTGTTACCATGGAAAGTGTCATTGTTCAGGTATCTAATTTAAATGTCAGTGCATTTGTAATTGTCTAAAAGAAACCTTTAATTAAGGCATACTTTCCAGTGATTTAAGAACATTACATTTTTAAGTACAAGAAAGCAACATCAAAAGCAAAGCATTTAAAATTTGAAGGCATTAACTTTTCACTATAATGCCACTGCTAGCTGTAAATGGCGTATATTTTTTTTTATAACTATATAATTGTTTTAGACCATACAAATACCACCACTCCGTCCAGTAGGTCCGATCATTGTCTACATACTTCTGATTGTAATGACTGTCCTGGTCATCTGGTTCCTCATTGTTTTAACTACCGCTGTGCATGTACAGGTAAAAGTCAAAATGAAGATAAAAAAGAGAAAAAAAATCTTATATCATTTCAGAACCATTCAAGGCAAAAGATACCAATTTACTATATTGTTTCTTTCTCATCTCTTGGTCATGTTGAAACACGTGTGGTTTTTTTTTTGGGGGGGGGGGGTGTTTGTTTTTGTTTTGTTTTATTTTTTTTCTGCATGAAACAAGTGAAGGCAGGGATAGCAATATAGAAGCAACGTTATTTTATTTTAGAACCCTGGACTTGTTAATATAGCATAAACCGATTAGATAATTTTAAGAAATGAAAGAAAGTTTCACAAAGACTTTTTCGAAAAAATTCGTTCACTTCAATTCAAACATCAAATTTACAATTTTAATTACTTATTATTTCAATGTTTGATAGCTATTTGATTTTTATGAAGGGAATTATATGGGCGGCGGAAAGGGTAAAAAAGACGTTCATGCAAAACTAACAGCTAATTGTAAAAATATAATGAAATGCAGAACATACACTTAAAGACTGATATTTTCTCTTTCAAAAGATTTGGTCTTATACACGGACGATTTATCAGTGAACATTTATATACCGATAATTGAATACATAATGGAGTAAGAAATAAATTTGCGAGTTTGTAAAATTGTAGACTAGGAGGTGTTCTAAATAAAACGTTTCAACACAGATAAAAAGGCGCTGCTTGAAAGCACAAAATGATTGATCGTATATTGTTTAACGTCCATCTCGAGAATTTTTCACTCATATGGAGACGCCACCACTTTCCGGTGGAGAGTTTAAAGTTTTGTGCTTTACTCGGCACTCAGGGCCATTTAGCAACTTTTTTGTGCCAACACTCACTACTATGGGACCTCGGTTTATACGGTCTCATCCGAAAAGTCGGTCCCCACGTCCAAAAGTGGAATTGAACCTGCGACGTAAAGATCAACTCCTTACTTTGCAACTCAAGAGCAAACGCTCCAACCACTGACCCAAATGGGCGGCTAGCATGAAACGAAGCAAAGGGTGAATTTGCTCATTTGTTAACAAGAATTTATTTCATTAATAATAATAAAAATCTACACATCTTATACAACAGGAAAAGCACAACAATTAAGGCATATCCTTTTCTCTGAATACCTTAACATTTACAGAACAACCAGCGTTACCGACGAAATATTGTAACCAACACTCTGACTGTTCCAGTTGTTCTGAACATCACGTGGGATTTTGTAGCGACCACAAATGTACATGTACAGGTAATGAGCTTTATAGACAAAAGGAAAATTGTATTTATGGTTACTTAAGGAATCACTGTCTAGTTAGGAGGGTATTTCAGGGCATCAACAATAGTGGGAAACATGGGATAATTTGCATAACGGGCGAAGCCCGTAATGCTTAAATTATTGCATGTTTCCCACTATTGTTGATGTCCCTGACATACCCTCCTAACTAGACAGTGATTCCTTATATTTCCATTTCATTGCGAAATAAAATTGTTGATTTAGACTTTAAAAATGTAGAGACAAATTTAAATTACATGAGGACTCCCATGTCGATTTCAATAGTCCTCGCCAACTGACGTCAGACATAAAAGAAGCCGCACGAGATTTACATGCATATTTGGCCTCCTTAGCGTCAAGCACAGAGACAGATGTGCACGAGATTTGCATGCGTATTAGGCCTTCTTAGCTCCTGACCTATCGACCTGCCTAATTTACATTCCGGTAGAATTATCAAGACATCAACTCCGCTAACTTTCAAAGGGTTATCACAGAGGAAAAAAATAGAAATGAAAATATTATAATATGTAAATGAACTTTCGGTTTATATCTATATCTGGTCTTGAAACGCTAAATAAGTATGATAGAAAAGAAAAATGGAAATTCAGGGGAATAATTAATTATGATATAATTCAATGTTTTTTTTTTATTTTGTTTGTTGTATTACGTCCGTCTCGAGAATTTATTCACTCATATTGAGACGCCACGCTTTGCTGGTGGAGAGCTGCAAATTTTGTCCTATACTCGGCACTCAGGGCCTTTGAGTAGTGAGGGATTTTTTCCGTGCCAGCACCAACTTTGAGACGGGACCTCGGTTTAGACAGTATTATCCGACGGACCAGTCTCGACATCTCACAGTAGGACCCGAACCTGCGACATAAGGATCAACTCCTTTCACGCGACTCTAGAGCAGACGCTCTTCCCACTGCGCCAAACATGCTACAAATATTATAATATTTTTAAAAAGCATTGATGTTTTCATTTATTGAGTGAATGTACATAATTAAATTTTATATGTGTGATTAATTAATTTCTTTTGAAACAGTGTTTTTACCCTCATAACTTGAAAATTAACTGTTGGTCTATTTAATCTATCAAATTTCAAGGCGATTACATATTTTCAAGTTAAATAGTTTGCATCAATTTACCGAATTATTGTTAAATGATAAGAAAAAACTTAGCATCAGTCAAACAAGTGATTGATAATTCTAAAAAAAAAATGCTGTTCGGAATGGGCTTCCTGTCTGTTCACATTCAAAATCCTAAACATAAAACGACATAAACTTCCATATCGTGTATTTATTCAGCAGTTTTACTTTTTCTGTTTCCAAATGAAAAGTATGTCACTCGTGAAATTCGTTAAATCAAGGAGCTTTTGAGAAGTATATTTTGATAAGTACTGATGTAGTATGACTAAAAATCGCAGAGAAAAAAGTGGGTCAGAGTGCATCTTACTAAGCTACGGTATAATTAAGTGAACCTTTTTGTCCCCCGCTTTCGCGAAAGCGAGGGGACATTAAATCTCATTCGTCTGTCCGTCTGTCCGTCAGTCTGTCAGTCTGTCCCTCCGTCACAAAAACTTTAACATTGCCCATAACTTTTGATCTAGTGAAGCTATGACTTTCATATTTCACATATGTATTCCTTGTGATAAGACCTTTCTTTGGGTACCACTAAATTTGACCTTTTGACCTTGACCTTTGAGTTTGACCCACTTTTACACAAAGAAATTTCATACTTTTACTTTGGCCATAACTTTTGAATCGTAGATACTAGGACTTTTATATTTCACATATGTATTCTTTGTGACAAGACTTTTCATTGGATACCAACAACTTTGACCTTTTGACCTTGACCTAGGAGATTTCCGAACTTATGAAAAAAACTTTAACATTGACCATAACTTTTGAACGGTATGGGCTAGGGCTTTCATACTTCATATATGTAATCCTTGTGAGAAGGCCTTTCATTGGATAACAAGAACTTTTACCCTTTCATCTTGACCTTGAAGTTTGGCCTACTTTTAAAAAAATATTACCTTTGCCACAACTTTTGAACAGTAGATACTAGGACTTTCATATTTCACATATGTATTCTTTGTGGCAACACCTTTCATTTGATATCAACATCCTTGACCTTTTGAAGTTGACCTTGGAGAATTTTCGTACTTATGAAAAAACTTTAACCTTTACCATAACTTTTGAATGGCAAGGGCTAGGGCTTTCATACTTCACCTATGTAATCATTATGAGAAGACTGTTCATAAGATACCAAACACTTTAACCCTTTGACCTTGACCTTGGACTTCAGTTATGATTTCTAAATAAATGATATATGATAGGGTGTTCATATTACACACAATATATCATTAAAAATGACATCTCACCCACAAAGACACCGAAAGCGGGGGACCACAATTCCTTGAATTTGCTTGTTGCACTTAAATTTTAACCTTTTGGTTAAGGATATCCGATCCTCAGCCAGGAAGGATAAATTCAAAAATTCATTTTAATTTGAAATGCATCAAAATGAAGCTTGAAAATGAATTTTTTCATGCAACAATTTTCATTATTTTCATCTTTATCAGATTCAAGGTTTTTGGAAGTCTTAGAAAAGGTCTTATAAAAGTTGACATTTGTATCCTATAAAAAGGAGAAAAAATGATATAGTTTTAGAGAAATAAGGTTTTCTTGAATCCAGTCTTATACATTAGATACCAATGATTATTAGCATGATATGAAATTAGAAGTGATTTGTAGTGTCTTGCAATGATAGCAAAAGCCTTTTACACCATGTATTATAGAATACATGACGGAAGTAGAAGATGAAAACATACCAAATAAGTATGAAAATCATGACAATTTCTCTGAATGTCTGGATACCTATCGTTCTTTAACTTAAAATATATTTGTTGATCAATTTGCAATTAGAAAATGCATAGCTGGTATTCCTATTCGCTTTTTCTGTAAAAAAAATATTGGTGAATTGACGATTTTCCCTATGTTATATGATTAACTTTAATCTTTATCCTTAAAGAGATACTGTGGATTTACATAACTCTGTGGATTCAGAGATACTTTTATGAGTATAGTTGATTACTTAACTGCTTATTTTATAAACCTGAGGATCGGACTACCTTAATTACTTTAACTTTATCATATTTTATCAGATGTAACCATAGCAATATATTTAATTAATCACTATTTTACTTAAAATAGTCTGAAAAATATTCATCATTGAACAAATCTTGCAAATTAATGCGCGAAGATTATTGTATGACCTTTTTGCACTGAAAAAGTAACATATTTTTGGTTTTAAAAATCTAATAAGTCATTAAAAAATGTTCTTGTATCGAACATTTTAGGACTTAAGTGTTGTCAGTCACAAGTGTAGAGTAGTTTAAAATAGCGAAAGAAAAAGTTGGGGTCAGTGATGTTAATTTTGAAATATTGGTCAAAATATGTGATTTTCAGGCAAAAACTGTGAACATTTTATCTCGACTTCTTTAAAATACCTTCATTTCTCGGCAAAATTTGTTGAAGGGATGTGTAAAATTTGTTCTAAATTATGAATTGTGACCTATATAAAATATTCCTAGTATAACATAACGGAAAATATTCTCTGAGTGAACGAAATTGAGGCTAAAGTTCCAAGATATTAAATTTAATAAATGTGCAGAATTGCTGAATTTTTTGCTAAATATCCTTCCACGACAAGAAATTGTCCCTCGTAAATCTTGCTTTTTTGTGGATTTTCGAGCAGTTTTTTCATTGAACTTTGAACAATTTACATTGTTGAATTTAAATATGTTATAAAAAATAAATTAGAATAAATAGTTTTGAAATAAGAGGTTTTGCGTGAACTTTTCTAAAAAGCTGACGAGTGGCATACCTTAAATCGAGTTTGTACATGTAGCTCATTCGATATATTTCTTCATAGGAAGTATTCAATGCAGTGTTGGGAATTGTGATCATTTTGGATGTCCCAGCGGTTCAAATCCAGAATGTGAAGTCCTAAACGGTCATCATCGATGCGCTTGTAAACGTAAGAATCTTAAATAAGTTCCATCTTATCTTTTTAAGGTTTTACTGTAAATTACTTTTGAAATCAAAATTAAGTCATTTCCTTAATATTGTCAATGCTGATTTATTATATAATCAATATATGAATGATACCTATACATTGTATTTTATTTCTTAAAAATATAATTTCTTATTCAACACTTTCGCCGATATATGGCTGAAATATTGCCGATTCGGCGTAAAACATTAATCAATCAATCAATCAATCTTATTCAACAAGTTTTTTGGAATCGCCTGTGACTCACAGCATTCGATACCATCTTTGACATTTCAAACATGTACATGTACAAAGCTTATCTTTTAATCAAACTTGTCCTTTTTTTAAAATAAAATAGTCCTTATAGACATGTTCAAAGTTTTTAATTTCAAGAATTTTATGTACAGAAAAAGGGGGAAGGGTCTCAACATAAAATTGAAAATACTTCATTTATCTATTCTATATAAGGGATTTTTTTATTCAGTGAAATATCGAATATTAGATACATGTGATGTGCAAATTTTCTTGCATTTATTTACACATAAAAATAGTCCCTACTATGGTCCACCCAGATAAAGGAACAATTATTTTTTAACAATCCAAATTCTCCAACAATGTATTTTCATTTACAAAACATGAACTGCAAGTAATTTAGTTCAAAAACGTGAATGCAAAAAATTGCAAATAATTCTTGTAGTTTATGATTATTTTACGACGAGTGTTTTTTTTTTCTCTAGCGTCGACACTTGCCACTATCAGCCACTGCAATGACAATTCTGACTGCACCACTTGTTCTGACTATCAGATTGGACAGTGCATCCACCACCAATGTAACTGCTCTGGTAGGTGTACAGATTTTCTTTATGTACAATCAAGACTGAAAACGTGGAACTATTTCTATAGATAAAGCATTTATTTAAAAAAACTTTAATAACAAAGATAAATCCTTTGTAAATATATTTGTCTCACACTAAAATCCCTAAACACCTAGCTAAATCAATTATGATTTTTTTTCTTTAAAGATAAGCTACAGTGGCTGGAACGTTATTGTTGACAAACCAATCGTGTAGAATCGTGAGTGCCCATTCGTGTGAATCCGGGATGTTTCGCGCCGATTCTGTTTCGCACTGAGATGGTTCGCGCCAGGATGATTCGCACCGATTTAGGTGCGAAACATCTCCCCTCTTTTTTTAATATTTCATTTATTTTGTAATGATTCAAGTATTTTGTTTTGATTAGAAATAATTTAAACAGATAAACTCTTTTCATCTTCATTCTAATCATTCTGCCCCCCCCCCCTCTCCCATTTCCTCGTCAACAACCAACACCTAATAGAACCAATGAATGACTTTATACAATAAAATCTACATATACTATGAATCAATATGTATATAGGTACAAGTTCATTTCTCAATTTTTTTTTAGTTTTATCCAGAAACAGTTAATGGTAAACATAAAATTTAACATATTTCTCTGATTTAAGCTGCGTTCTTTGTTGAATTTTATCTTATATTTTTTTGCACTTTTATATCGGCATATCATGGAGGTATTTCTTTACAAATGAAATTGCTATGAATTATCCACCAAAGGAAGAGAATTCTAATATTAACAAACTCCATAAATCAAATAAAGCTGTAATAAATGATGAAAAAGAATTCTTTTTGTAAACTGTGTACGTTATTGATTAATAACAATGTTATGCCTATAATCACAGTTGCAAAAGTCAGCGGGGAAAAAAACAAACGTCGCTATTGTGACGTCACATTACGCTGCTTTGACGTAGAACGACATAGGTCCCCCCTTAAGACTAATTTTTTGGTGCTAGGGCCATTGTGACGTCATAATCAATTTCAACTTTCTTTTTCCCGTACTTTACAGCTTTAGTAGAATTATGTAGAAAATAGGGGATTTTCATGGCATTCAATTTGAAATCATATGAAAAGTAATCCCGATACCTATATTAAGTTTGATATTATTTTAAAGAAGAGGCCATGAACATGCAATCTACCGTTTTGTGAGAGACTGTAGGCAATCTGGATACATTTCCTTTGTCAAATATGAATGAAAAAAAAATTATTTTTATGACGGATTTTCTTAAATTTTCATTGAAAATAACAGTTTAAAGTATGGTTTGTCATGTTGTTTACCTACAAATTATGCCCCGAAACACCTTATTTGACCTAGCTAAAGTTGTAAAGGATTATTAAAGGAATTTATATCTCAGATTTGATAAATCTGTAGGCATCTTTCATTTAATAGATCTTGACCTTAAGACCATTTATTGAATCTTGAATATAAATATTGCTGTATGCTCAAAATCACGACTTTATAATATGCGGTGCCACAGGTAACGGATCGTAAATGTTAATTAATATGGTGCCCGTTTGCTCAGCCTGTGTGTTCAACTAATTAATTGCAATTAGTTGGAGATCAAAAGGTGAGAAGTATTTCATTGCAGCAATTATAAAGTCGTACAGCAATTATCTGCGTGAACTTGAAAAAATTTAATTTGTGTTATTGAGAACATGTGTAAAGAATAATCCACCAGGAAGTTTGATTGTCAAATTTAATGAGCTAAACTAACATATTTTCTTAGTCTATAACTCATCTCTATATTTCTCTACATCAATATTAATTTACAATAAGTGAACCATCTTTTTTGAAGCCATTAAATCATAGTTAAAAATCAAGGGCGTAGCTATGAGACAACTGCCTCATTAGCACCATCCCCTTCCTATATTAATTTAATACATCACAGGAGTCAGAAAACAATTTATTTCATTCAAAAACCTAATTGTTTTCATTTAAACAAATCAACAAAATATTGTACTTTTATGTCAATATGTTTCAAAATTCATGAGATTTTTAAAAGTTTTCAGCATTTTTGCTTATGGAAAAGTGATATTTGATTTATACAAATTTGAACTTCAAATTAACTTGTTCAATTAAATTATTAATTAATATTCTACAAAATTTCGATACTTACATCAATATTAACAGATTATAATATATAATTTAATTTTTTTTTCAAAACGAACGAAATGAATAGCATACATTTTATGTTCTTGGAGCGAAACATCGTGGGGCGAACCATCTCAGCGCGAAACAGAATAGGCGCGAAACATCGCGGTGCGAACCATGCATAGGCGCGAAACATCCCGTTACCGTTCGGGTAACGTGCGAGATCGTTCGCGTATCAGACTCAATCGTGTGCGTTTTTAATCGTGCGAGATCGTGCGTTTAAAATCGTGTAAATTTCGTTTTGTAAGTTTTTATCGGAATGTTATTTGTAAAATAAGCATTTCCCTTGTTTGTTTTTCTTAATTTATTAATTGAAATCCAAATAAAATGAAAAAGCGCAATTTACATAATAGAATGCAGAACGAACTAATTATCGCCCGTAAACAAGCATTATAGTACACTGTAAGTCGTACAATATTAAGTTCTCGTCAAATAGCGCGATCAATATTGTGTTAATCTGTACTTAAATCTTTAACGCCTTTTTGAAAAATCTGATTTTAATTATTTACTTCTTATTGTGGTCAAGATAACCTTGAAATCAATTTATTGAAAATAAATACATTTTTTTTTACAAAGAAATAAACATTTCTCAATGCTTACATAACTAGTTAGTCGACAAACATACATGGACACGGCATGATTTTCGGGAGTTTTGATTATCTGTGTTTATCTCTTGAGCCTATTTGTAATTAATTGATTTTAAATTTCTGCAAATAAAAAGTTGAATAATTGGCAAGTTTATCAAACATTGAATCATTGGAAACATAAGGATAAAATTTGTAATTATCATTTAAGTCATTCCATGCTGCCATTTTTGTTCAATCGTACCCCCCTTTCTGCATATCATGATATCCAATTCAATCAAATTATACGACCCACATACATGTACATCGTCTAATAGAACGAACAAAATCCGTTTTTTTTTTTTTATCGGAGAATTACCTTAGAAATAATTATTTTTAATCAAAAATATTAAGTCTTGCATATATTTAGTTACAGAAATACCATTTTCCGTTTTTTTTCTTCAAAGTCTATGAAATAATATTGATAATTCTTTAAAATCATAAATAAGTATTAAGCCGTGTTTCATTTTGAAAATATTGAATCCTAAATATTTTGAACTATTTTGAGTGAAGAATCGTGCGTTTGCGTTAACAATCGTGTAAGATCGCGTAACGTGTAGAATCGTGAACGTGAAAGATCGTTCGTGTAACAGGTTTAATCATGCGTTAATCGTGCGGAATCGTCATGTAACGTGATCGTTCGTGTAAGTTGTCAACAATAACGTTCCAGCCACTGTAAAAGATATTGAAATATGGAAAACGAATCGATTTTGATATCTTCACCTCATATATAATATTTAACTTTACCAACTGTTTTTATTTATCAAACCCTAGCAAAATATTCTTAAATTTAACAGTCTATCAATTTTTTCTTCTTCATTGTGTAAACACAGAAGCCATAACATATGTATGCTTGATAGAAGAAAGACAATAAACCAATATCCATTTCAGCAGACTTGGTTAATTGTTGCAATATGAAATAAGTTTTAAACTTTTTCTTTGCAATATGTACAGTTGGTCTGATTTAAGGGGGATGTCCGGCCACCTTTAGTGGAGTGAGAACAAAATATAAACATTTCTTCAAATGGCTAAAATACAGTATGTTTTAATCAAATTTTAGTTCCTTATGATAAAGAGGCAATAATTATGCATAACTGAATGCATGTTGTGCATATATAATATATACTTTTGCAGAAATATGCTTTTGATATGCTCTTTAGAACTGCACAGCTACAGAATTTAGCAGAGCCTTAAAAAATCCAAAAAATATGCAAAGTGTGCATTAATGTTCTCTCTACAGAAAATGTCTAAATTTTGCACTTTTAAATGGTAATTTCAAGTTCAAAACAAGGTACTGTTGTCTTTAAAATGAGTGTAAAGAACCATGAATGTAGTGCATGGAAAGCAGCACGTAGTCTATTTTTAGCACAGAATTTTGTTTTCCAGACCTCTTCTTTCTGGGGGTACATAATAATCTTAAAAAGTAGAAGAGAATTACAGTTGAAAATGTTTCAAATAATATGAATTCTTTTTAAAAGAGGAAATGTGTTATAGCGTGGCTTAAAGTAACTAGTACAGTGTACTATCATTGAAAGTTGTTAAATAGTGTACGTATTGATATTAAAAAAATTCTTAAACTCTATGATTCCAGGTATGGAAAAATGAGCACCAACAAAGTAAAAAAACAAGAGTTTGTAAGTCTGTTACAGATAACACAAAATCTTTTATCACCAATGAAACACAAAGAAAATTAGACAAATAAAATCAATATGAATGACCTTGTTTTAGTACCTACTAGTATATTTTGTCAAATAAACATTTACAATTTTCACCACATCGGAGCACCATTTGAAAAGGAATGAAATCATTCAGAGTGGGTTAGGAGATTTACTGAATAAAAAAAAAACTTATTTTCAATTTACCCAGAGTGTCAAAATTACAATTTTACAGAGTAAAAAAAAAATCAACATATTATTAATTAAATATTTTCGACCATCTTTAAAATGACGTGGTCCTCCCAACTCAGGGGGGAAATTATTGGGTCCGTATTTATAGGTGAGGAAAAAATTCCTTAAAATTTAAATATATTTGTTGACGGAAGTAAAAGAAAAAAAATATCGTGTAATGGGATGTAAAAAAAAAATTGACTCGGGCCATTTCTAGGCAGGATGTCGGGAGAGAGGACAACCAAATATTTTTTATAAAAAGTGGTCTTACCAATATAAGGCTAGTACATGTTCCATCACTGTGATGATACT